CAGGCTTATTAAATCAGCCTCAGTTTCCCTAACTGTAAAATGGGAATAAAAATAGCACCTACTTTCCAGGGTTGTTGTGAAGACCAAATAAGATAATATTTATGAAGTACTTAGTACAGTGCCTGGCACATAGTAGGTGCTTAATAGATTCCTGCTGCCTTCCTTTCCCCTTCCCTTCATTATGCTCTCTTGCCCCGTATTCAATCCTTATAAATAACTGATAGAAGGAAAAATCAGAATGATGGTTTCAGTCCAGTGTTAGAAATCACTGCTCGGGATTTGTCGCTGAGAAGGAAAGATGACGTCTCATCTGGCGGCTTTAGGATTAAAGTAGGCCCTCAATAAATCTTTGATGGTGATGATCGTAATGACAAGATTCAGCCCTGTGTGTGCTCCAAGTCTGGTCCTATTCAAACAAAAGTCTTCAGGCTTCTTAACTTGGTGAAACAACATGGAGGATCTCAGTGTGAATTACTATTAATTCAGGCACTGATGCGGCAGGAAGAAGACCAGAGCAAAAATAAAGTCAGCCTATGCCCAAAGGGCTATAAAAATGTGCAAATCCTTTGACCCAGCAATGGCACTTCTAGGGCTGTATGCCAAAGAGATCACACAAATGGGAAAAGGACCCACATGTACAAAAACATTTATAGCAGCTCTTTTTGTGGTGGCAAAGAATTGGAAATTGAGATGAAACCCATCAATGGGGGAATGGCTGAACAAGTTGTGGTATATGAATGTAATGGAATATTATTGTGCTATAAGAAATGATTAGCAGAAAAAAAAAAACAAAACAAAGAAACTTAAAGGGGCAGCTAGGTGGCGCAGTGGATAGAGCACTGGCCCTGGAGTCAGGAGGACCTGAGTTCAAATCTGGTCTTAGACACGTAATACTTACTAGCTGTGTGACCCTGGGCAAGTCATTTAACCCCATTGCCTAGCAAAACAAACAAATAAACAAACAAAAAAATGATGAGCAGGCAGACTTCAGAAAAACCTGGAAAGATTTATATAGACTAATGCTGAGTGAAGTGAGCAGAACCAGGAGAACATTGCACACACCAACAGCCACATTGTACAATGACTAACTTTGACAGACTCAGCTCTTCTCAGCAATGCAAGGATCTAAGACAATTCCAAAAGACTCATGACAGAAAATGCTGTTCACATCCAGAAAAAGAACCGTGGAGTCTGAATGCAGATCGATGCATACTATTTTTTCTTTTTTTCTGTTTTGTTTCTTCTTTCTTGTGGTTCCTCCTATTGGTTCTAATTCTTGTTTACAACATGACTAATGTGAAAATATGTTTAATAGGAATGTATATGGGGGCAGCTAGGTGGCACAGTGGATGAAGCTTTGGCCTTGGAGTCAGGAGGACCTGAGTTCAAATACGGTCTCAGACACATGACACTTACTAGATGTGTGACCCTGGGCAAGTCACTTAACCCCGATTGCCTCACAAAAAAGAAAAGAAAAAGAAAAAGAAAAGAAATGTATATGAAAAACCTATATCAGATTGCGTGCTGTCTTGCGGAAGAAGGTGCAGAGGGAAAGGGAGAAAATTTAAAACTCAAAAGCTTATGGAAATGAATGTTGAAAATTAAAAATAAGTTAATTTTTAAAAAGTAAAGTTACCAGAGTTTCTGAGACAGAATTTCAAGAATTCAAATTGCAGGAAAACCAACAACTTACATCTTAAATGCCTGTGCTTACTTCAGGGAAAAGAAAGAAGACAACTAGCCAGGCATCCCTAGATCTGTTTCTTAAAAAGCCAAAAATAATAATAGATAATATTTATATGAATTTATAAAGCACTTTACAAATGCTATCTCATTTGATTCGCACAACTCTGTGAGCTATTATTATGCCCATTTTATAGAAGAGGAAACTGAGGCTGAGATGTTAAGTGACTGGCTCAGGGCCACTCAGCTGGTAAATGTTTGAGGAAGGATATGAATTAAGGCCTTCCTGACTCCAGGTCCAACACTCTAACCACGGATAATGGAATCCTAAGTTTTCCCCAAAGTCTTTTTAATTATGCTTGTCATAATCTCCTCAGAGAAATCTTTCTGAACAGATGAAAGTGCTGATTGGCCTTCTGTTACAATAATAACAATAAAAATAATACCCTTAAGGCAGAAATGACAAAAGGCCTTTGGCTAGAAGATATTGTATCATATTAAGTACATTGTGACATAAATGGTTACTGCTTTGCCCTGTTTAATTTAGACACACAATAGAAACTAGTATCTTGTACAGTGTGTAGACATATCCCTTATAGCTTCTGAAACAGTTGGTCATTCACTCAGTAAGCATTTATTAAATATTTATAATGGGTCAAACAATATGCTAGGGGTTGGGGAGACAAAGTGAAAGTCCCATCCCTCAAGGTGCTTATCTTCTAATGAGGGAAAACAACACGTACCTGTAAGAATATGCAAAATATATACACATTACAGGTAACTGGAGGATGGTACTAGTTGCTGGTGGTCAGGGGAGGTCAAGAAAAGCTTGATGGTGGTTGAGTTGACTATGGAAGGAAACATAGAATGCTAAGATGGAGAAGTGAGGATGGAGTATATTCCAGGAATGGTAGCATCCAGCACAAAAGTCTGGAGATAGGAGATAACGGGTCTTGTGGGGGAAGTTTCAAAAAGGCCAATCTGACTACTGGAGAGTGTAAGAAGAGGAATATGTATAACTAAGCAGGAAAAGCAGGCTGGGGCCAGGTTGTAAAGGGCTTTACAAGCCAAATAAAGAAGATTATGTTTGATCCTGCCAAAGAGCTGCCTTGCTAACCACCTGGAGCAGCCGACCCCACCGGGAGCCAGGGACCTTCCTTCCCCTTCGAGACCCTGCCAGCCCCATCCACCAACAGGTGCCTGACAGGACTTGGAGAACCCTTTCCCTTCTCCATCCCAAATGGCACTGCCTAGCTCCCCCCAGGTATGCTCACTCTTGGCTGGATGCTGAACCACTTTTCTCCACTTCTGCCTGAAGTGACCCAGAGCCACACTCCACTCTAACCCTTGGGCTCACTACCCTTTTCTTAACAATCAGTGATCAGAAACCATCTGCCCTGCCCATTGATCCCCAAGGCCCATGGAGCTTTGCCATTGTCTCTGTTGCTTTGACCTCTGGACCTTTGACCTCTGGCCTTCCCATGTCATGAAGTTGAACTTTCTTATATGTGTTATCTCCCCAGTTAAATTGTGAGCCCCTTAAGAGTAGGGACTATCTTGCCTTTCTATTTTTATCCTCCACACTCAGCACAGTGCTTGGCACATCGTAAGGGCTTAATAAATGCTATTTCTTTCCATCCTAAAGGTAATAGGGAACCATCTAAATCTATTGAGTAGGGGAGTAAACGTCAGAACTACATGATTAGGAAAATCACTTTAGCCCCTGAGCAGAAGATGGATTAGAGTGGAGAGACCCAAGGCTGGAAAACCAATTAGGAAGCTACTGCAATAATCCAGGTGAGAAACGATAAAGGTCTGACCTAGGATGGTAGCTGGGGGACTGGAAAAGACTGGCAAGTACAAGAGATGCCGTGGAAGTAGAAAGGACAAGATTTGGTCGCTGATTGGATACAAGGGGTAAGTGAGAATGAAGCATCAGAGATAATGCTGAGGTCATGAACCTGGGATGCCAGAAGGATTATGGTGTGTTGACTGAAATCGGAAAGTGTGGAGATAACGCATTCTCGAGTAAACACGAGTTTACTAGTGTTTGCTGACAATCATTCCTATAAAAAGCTGGGCACCAAATCCTTGGTGCAATATAACAATTTATAGCAATATAACTTCCTATTATAAAATTGTTTCTGTGGGAAAATCATATCTGACACACATCATTTTGACTTGACTGAAACAAATGATCATACTTTCTATTTGTACAGACTTTACTGTTTGGAAAGCCTTTCTACATCCACTGTTGCCTTAGATTCTCAGGACAGCTCTTGGAGGTAGAAAGGGCAGTAGGCACTATTATACCTACTCCACAGGAAACTGAAACTGAGAGGTTGACTTGTCCAAGATCATACAGACAGCAAATGGCAAAACTGAGACTTAAGACCACATCTTTTGACTCCAAGTCTAATGACCATGATTGATTATAAAAAGAACTTTTCACATGTCAAATTCGCTTCCCCAAACTAGACTATAAACTCCTTATGAGGTCCATTCTGTCTTATACTTTCCCCCACATCCCACGGTGCCTAGTGAAGTACCAAGAACAAAGCGGGTGCTCATAAATACCCACAAAATAAATCAAATGCATACAGTGGCAACACCAAATATCTGGCACTCTTCCGGCACCCCAAATCCTGAGGTGCTTATAGTTACCTTTTCTCCACTGAAGGGAGAAAAAGCTTACAAGACCGTGTTGAAAAAGGCAGACAGGAAGAAAGAGAACCGTCACAGGAGCTATCTTTTCTATCAAAGCCCTGGGAGACTAAGAAGTTTTTACATCAATGACAATGACAAGAGAAATTACAGATATTCTCTGGGATAAGAATAATAGAATTTCGGAACCAGTGTCCCTCAATCACCACCACCCTTCTCTGGTGAGATCAATGAAGTTCTATTGCCTCGCTCATATTGCATGCATGATTTTTTCAACTTATCTCCTGGTTTAGAAGAAATAATTACATCATACCTCTTAGTTTATAATGTCTGCCAAGTCTTTTTTTACAATGAACTTTTCAACTGGTCACAAACACCATATTTAAATTCCTAATCCTAACAAACTAACATAAGAGCTCCTTCTTTTTAAAGGCAAAAGGAAACAAGACCGAATCCCAAATGTTTAAAATCAAAGAACGACTTATTTTTTAACAAGTAAAGCCAACCCTGGTACTGTCACAGCCTTAACCTTAAATCAGTCAGCACTTGGACTGTGTCAAATAATCTTAATTTTTTAAAAAGTCTTTGCCATTTCATAAAAAGTTTAAGGAGGTTTTAAAAACAAGAACGACAGTGCAAATAAGAATACTGACCTGCAAAGCAGCCCAGAAAGGAGCAGCTGGTCAGCCTTCAGAGCTGTGAATTCAAGAGACGTTTTTACAATATTTACTAAATGCTAATACACCCTCTATAAATCTTAAGCTTCTAGAATTCTGGAGCTGGAAAGCAACCTTACAGACCATCTAGTTTGGGTCCTTTCCAACCAACTTTAACTAACCTAATACCCAATCACTTTCCCACTTTCTAGGAAAAGGTGGGGGATGCCAGGGGCAGGGAGAAGTGGGGGGTGGCAAACACTATTCTTTTGTCACTCTGTCCATTGGCTTAGAGGAGGAGACGTCAGGACCCCCAAACTACAACCCTTAAACAGCTCTAATGCTTTTGGCAATTACGTTAAGATGCCTCTTGACTTAACAGGGGCCCAGCGGGATGAGTAGGGTTTTCAGCTCTCCTTTCTGTCTATCTAATATGCCTGAAGAGTACTTTGTACACCTAGTGGTATCTTGACTTGACAGCTTGTTTGAGGGGTGAGGGAGGATTCATGGGAATTTTCTTCCCAAAGATGCAATGAAGACTCTGGACAAATGAAATATACATGGTGGTTACAACACCAGCTTTCCTGAAAGCATGGGTCCGTTCCAAAGCAGCAACCACTGGGAGATCAACAAACGTGAAAGGGTCCAGAGAGCAAGGTCAAAGGCAACAGCACGGACAGTGAACTGCAAAGTTAACCCTTTGGCCACCACCAAGGGCTCCCAAGTCCTCCTGTCTAGGTCAGAGTCGTTCATTTACTAAAACACTCAATGTTCAGTTTTAGCCACCACCAAGCTGGGCTGCAAACAGGAAAACTCATGTCTCAAGTCCAACCAGGACATGACTGCAAAATGGAAGGAGTCTGGAGGCAAGGAAGTGCAGACAGAAGGGGCAAACGTGATGGGACGGGCAGATCAGAGGCACATCTAAGGAGAAGAACTAAGATTAGTAGGAAGAAAAAGGAACCTTAACGTCAAAGAAAGAAAAGAGCTGGAAAAAGGAAGGAAGAGCAACAATAAAGCCAAGGAGAGGCAGACAGGGACAAGAGAAGAGCTCCTCTGGGCTTAGAATAACGGAGATCAGCACAGGAGATAAGAAAATCCTGTTTAGGGGAAAGCTAAAGGGATGGAGAAGGGGTGGCCACAGAGGAATATGAGACCATTAACAGAAAATGATGCCTCTATTCTGGGCTAGGGGAGGGAGATTAGGGCAGAGCCAGGATGTATGGAGAAGGGCAGGATTCAGGGGCAAGGAAAGAGATCAGACAAGAGCCAAGGGTAAGAAAGAGAGGAGGTATCCTGCACAGGAATGAGGAGCAAAGATGGGAGGGGGAGGGATGCAGGCAAGAGCTTAAAGTGGGAGGGGGGAATGGAAGCAGAACTCAGGACAGATGATTAGGAGCATATTCCTGGATGAAGGGGGTGGAGTGCCCAATATAATGAGGGAAAGGAGCAAGAGGCAAGCAGGACTAAGGGATGGGGAGGATTGGAAGCACAGTCATGACAGATAAGGTGGGGGACACAGAACAGAGGGGAGAGGAATGGGATTTGGGGCACAAGTTAAGATGAAAGAGGAACGATGTATACGGGGGACTGAGATTCAGGTTTCACCTGGGATGGGGAAGATGCTAGACAGAGCCCTGAAGCCAGGAGAATGTAGGGCAGACCCTGGGATAGAGGGAAAAGAGGGGCTGCTAGACAAGGCCCAGAGAAAGGAAAGGTGGGCACAGACTAGAATCATGGGGTCGAGACAGGAAGCCAATCCCAGGATGAGGGCAGGGATTAGAGGGACAAGGGAAGCGAGGCCAGCCTGCAGAAGGAAGGAAAGGGATGCTAGGTGGGGGAGGGGGGAATGTGGAGCAGAACCTGGGAAGGGAAGAGACAGAGATCAGGATACGTGAAAGAAGAGAGATAACCGTAACTCCAGGCCAGGACAGGAAGGATGGAGGGCAAAGCCTAAGGGTGGGATGGGATGTGGGATAAAGCTAGGAATAGAGGGCTGGAAGTACGGAACAGTGACTAGGCTGGTTAGGTTGGAGAGGGAGCTAAAAAACCAAGTGGTGGGAAGATAAGGACCAGCCCAGGGTATAAGGAGACCAAGAGGCAGTACAGTAGGGAGGAGCAGGTCATGACGGTTGGGATGAGAAAGGTGTCAAGGGACAGAAATATACAGGAAAGAGAAGCCTGAGTTGGAGGAGAAGGGTTATAGGCCATGGAGCAGGATGGGGTGGAAGAGAGGAGTGAGGGTATGAGAGAGAGCCTTGGATGGAGGTTAGAGGGGGAAGGAAATAGAAGGGATCACAGCTATGAGGCGAGGGGGTGCAGCGATGCTGAGCATAGTTAGGAGGTATAATTACAGTAGGGAGGTTGGAGAAACAGATTGGGGTCGGGACCTACAGCGTGAAAAGAAACCTGAGAGTTGGGAAAAGGATCTGGGGACAGGGACTGAGCCAGAGATCATGGGGAAGAAGGGATGTCAGGCACAAGCTGGTATGGGAGGGGTGTGACCTGGGGAAGAGCCTGGGATTTGGGAGCAAAGGGACACCGGGCAGGGCAAAGGAGTGAAAGGGGAGGGACACAAGGCACAGGCCAGGAAAGCGGGGTACAGGGAACAGATAAGCTGGGGGAAGTTAGCCCCACAAGATGGAAATGAGGGCCAGAGCTGCGAGAAAAGGAACATGGGCATCTTGGACAGATCGAGAGAAAGGAGTGGGGTATAGGTCGCAGAACAGGATAGTCTTGGAACAAAGCCTGTGGCTGCCCAGAGGGGTATAGGACAGGGCCTAGGATGAAGTAGGACATATATGGCATGTTCAGGAGTGGAAGGGGGAGGATGCAGGGCACAGACCAGGATGGAAGGAAGAAGGAAAGTGATAAGGGGCTAGATATAGAGGCAGGGAGGAGGGACAAGGGACAGAGACAAGGAAGAGAAATGGATAACAGGCATATTCCTGGCATGTACAAGGATTGGAGGTGGGTAGAGGAGCCTCCCAGACAGAGCCTGGTTTGGAGGATTTAGGATACAGACAGAGATGGGGAGGGGGGAGGGCAGATGCAGGGAACCTGGGAAGAACCAGGAAGGGTAACATGGAGCACAGATGGTTAGACAGGATGAAAGACAAAAGCCCCGGTGGAGTAAGACAGGTCTACTGGGGGAGGGGGAAAGAACCTGGGGGGCTCCTCAGGAAGGAGTGAACTCAGAGCAGGCCAAAGAGCAGATTGGGAGAGGGACATATATACCAGGGGTGCTAGGGGATAAGGGATGTATCCCTACATCTGGATAAGGAACAAGTTGCTCCTGAGGAGGAGAGAGGGGCAAGGGGGATGACTGGAGGGGGAGGTTTAGGCTCAGGCAGCTTTAGGGGCAGACATGGCTCAGACTTGGAGAGTAGAAGTATGAGGGGCTGGAATCCTGAGCAGAGTCTGAAACCGGGGAGAGCCCCAGGCTCAGAGAGGGGACGAAATAGGGAACAGGGCTAGGGATTGGGATGAGGGGCAGGAAGACTCCGGAGCACAGAGCAGGGGGTGGGGCAGCGGAGGACACAGGGAGGACAACGCCGAAGGGGGATGCAGGGATGGAAGCAGAGACCGGGGTGGGAAAGAGAGCAGGGGAACCCCAGAGTGCAGACGAATGTGGCGAGGAGACGGGAAGGAAAGGGCTGAAGGTTGAAGTTCAGTGGCACAAGCAGAAGCAGGGATGGGGTTGAGGGGCAGGGGAATCCCGGAGCACAGAGAGAGGGAAAGGAGAAGACAGTGACAAGCCTGGGGGCGGGGGTGCAGGGACGCAGAAATAAGATAGGCATAGGGATGAGGGCCAGAGGGATCCTGGAATACAAATGAGTGGGGTAGAAGAGGAGATACGCAGGACAAGGCTGAAGGCTGGGGTGCAGGGACAGAGACAGGGATGGGGATGAGGGGCAGGGGGACCCCGGAGCACAGAAAAATGGGGATTGAGGACAAGGCTGGGACGGGGTTCAGGGATGCAGACAGGGATGGGGACAGGGGGCAGGGAGACCCCGAACCCCCAATGAACTGGGGGAGAACTAGGCTGGGGGCGGGGTGCAGGGACGCAGATGGGGACAGGGATGGGGATGAGGGGCAGGGAAACCCCAGAGCACAGATAGGGGGTGAGGACAAGGCTGGGAGTAGGGTGCAGGAACCCACATGGAGACAGGAATGGGGACAGGGGGATCCCGAAGCACCAATGAACGGGTTGGGGGGGAGGATCAGGCTGGGGGTGGGGTGCAGGGACGCAAACAGAGACAGGGATGAGGACGAGGGGCAGGGGACCCCAGAGCACAGATAAAGGAGGAGCATCAGGCTGGGGGCGGGGTGCAGGAACGCACATGGGGACAGGGATGGGGATGAGGGGCAGGGGACCCCAGAGCACAGATAAAGGAGGAGGATCAGGCTGGGGGCGGGGTGCAAGAACGCAGATGGAGACAGGAATGGAGACAAGGGGCAGGGGGACCCCGAAGCACCAATGAACGGGGGGGGGACCAGACTCGGGGCAGGGTTCAGGGACGCAGAGACAGGGATGAGGTTGAGAGGCAGGGGGACCCCGGAGCACAGATGAGCAGGAGGATGACCACAAGGCTGGGAGTGGGGTGCAGGAACACAGATGGAGACAGGAATGGGGGCAGGGGGACCCCAAAGCACCAATGACCTGGGGGGAGAACCAGACTGGGGGCGGGGTTCAGGGACGCAGAGCCAGGGATGAGAGGCAGGGGGACCCCGGAGCACAGATGAGGCGGGGGATGAGAACAAGGCTGGGGGCGGGGTGCAGGGAAGCCGGCAGACCCGGGCTGCTGCCCCCTCACCTGGGCGGGACGCGCAGCGGCCGCCCCCTGGCGCCGGCATCGGCATCGTGCGCTCGCCGCTTGTCCGCAGCCGCCGCCGCGCTCAGGGCCCCCGGCCCGCCGCCGCCGCCGCCGGCCCGGCCCAGCCCAGCCCAGCCCGGCCCGGCCCGGCCCGGCCGTCGCAGCTCGCACGACCCCTTCCGCGCTCGCCGCCGCCTCAGCAGCGACTCCGGCCCGCAGCTCGCACTGCCGCCTCTACCTCCCGCCCCAGCTGCCATGGAAATCACAGGCGCGCACTGATTGGCCGCACCCCCGCCCCCCCCCCGGGGAATGTCTCGGCAGCGCTGATTCGCGGGCGCCGGTTGGCTGGCCCGCCCGAGGGGGCGGGGCCGCAGCCGGCCCAGCCTAGAGTCTAACTGGACCAAGTGGGGCGGGAGGAGGGAGGGGGATGAAGAGATGCTGAGTGATGCGGCTGGGGGGAGGGGCTGAGCCCAGCTGCTCCGGGGGTCGGGTCCTGTCCCCTTGGGATGCTCTTCCCCGGGACCCCTGTCTTAAATCCGATAGTCATGGCTTAGAGATCTTAGGAGCATAGCTGTAGAGCATAAAGGGGCCCCAGGAACCCTTTAGTGACCAACCGTGGCCTTTTACAGAGAGGGAAACTGAGACCAAAGGAGGCAAATTTACTTAGAATCATAAGATCATAAATGTAGAGATGGAAGGGACCTCAAAATCCATCTAGTCCAACCCCAGGTATTCCCTGGAGCCCCGACCCACCCATCCTATACGTTTCAGCTTCCTTTTGTGTGCCGTAGCCCCGTAAGATTGTAAGCTCTGTGAGGGCAGCCACTGTCTTTCTTTTTCTTATTTGTCTTCCCAGCCCTTAGCACAGTGCCTGGCACATAGTAAGTGCTTAATAAATATTGATTAAATTGAATCCATTTTACAGATAAGGAAACCGAGGCCCAGGGAGGTTAAGTAACTTAAATTCATAGAATCGTAGATTTCCAGTTAGTAAATGTTAAGCTTTGTGCTAATAAGCACTGCTATACCAAAAAAAAAAAAAAAGACAAAAGACGATCCCTGCTCTCAAGTAGCTCACAGTCTAACGGAAGAGACAACATGCAAACAAGATAGATATAGACTGGAGAAATTGGAGACAATCCGCAGAGGGAAGGAGTTAGAATTGAGACAGAGGGGACCTCAAAATTCATTTAGTTCAAACCCTTCATTTTACTAATAAGCAAAGGAAAACTGGGCAAAGCCAAGTGACTTGGAATCACAGGATTATACATTTCAAGATGAAGGGACCTCAGAATCGATCTAATACAAGGCTTCTCAGCCTATGGCCCAGAGACCCCACCCTCCTCCCCGAAGGGATCCACGTTGGGGGATGTGGGGGGCTGCTAATGTTTAACAACTCTCTAAAAAAAATCATATTCTGAATGCATTTTTTGCGTTTAAAATGCATCATTAACATTTCCTCCATTTTCTTAAGTCTAGACAATCAACAAAACAATAAATCAAGCTCTGACTAATGGCCTTGCTGATTGATCCAAGGTATCAATGCATTTTAAGCTGATTCCAGGATACCCCTGGGTCCATGGATAGATTTCAGAGGGTCTGTCAATTTGGATGAGGGAAAAAAGTACATACTTATTTTCACTAACCTCTAACTGAAAGGTAGCATTTCCTTCAATTATGTAAAAAAAAAAAACCATTCATCTGAAAATGGCCCTTAGGCTTTGGCAGATTGCCAAAGGGGTCCATGACACAAAAATGTTAAGAACCCACTGCCTCATGAAACTTCTCATTTTACAGAGGAGGAAACTGAGGCCTAGGAATTTTGAGTGACTTAGGATCATCTGATCATAGATTTAGATATGGAAGGGACCCCAAAATCCATTTAGTTTAATCTCATCCTCAGCAAGGCCAAGTGATTTGCCCAAGGCCACCCAAGTAATAAGTATGAGAGATAAGATTTCATCCCAGATCCTTTAACTCCAAAGCTCGAATTCTTTCAACTGTTCCCTATCACCTAGCCCAACCCACCCCCCATTTTACAAATGAGGAAACTGAAGCTCACAGAGATTAAGTGACTTTTCCAAGATCATAAAGGCAGTAGATGTCAGAGCAGGAATTTGAATCCTCTGAGCCTTCAAGAAATAGTATGACACAGTGAAAAGAGTCCTTTGTAGTCAGAGGACTTGGGTTCGAATCACGACCAATTTGTATGACTTTGGACAAGCTGTCAATAGCCTCTAGTAGGCTTTGGTTTCCTCATTTGTAAAAGGAAGAGACTGGAGTAAATGGATTCTGAGGTCCCTTCCTATCTAAATCTATGATCCTAAGTCACTTAACATTCCTGGGCCTCAGTTTCCTCATCTATAAAATGCAGGGCTTGGATTAATATGTTCTGAGGTCTGCTAGTGGGTTTCCCTTCACTTACCATCTTCAAACATAAGCTGAATGGTCACAGGCTGAATGGTCACTTTTGGTATATTGTAGGGGCACGTATTTTTCAAGGTATGGGTTGGACAAGGGGGTTGCTATGCACCCTGACAACGTTGAGGTTTTATGATGTTCTGGAATCTTACTAGGAATTGAAATTGAGTTTACAGAATCACAGAACCTGAGACTTGGAAGGATAGTTAAGAGCCATGTAGTTGAGCCTGTTCCCTAAAAGCTTTCACCTGTCCCCCAAAGAGATCCCCAAGCATTTTAATCCCAATCACACAGCTCCAATCAGCCTCCAGCAACTCGTGTCTTCCAAACCCAGAAGTGCCAGAATTTTGAAATGACCTCCAACCCCAAGAAAAAAAAATCTTCACTTACCTGTTAGGGCCTGAAGGCAGAATATGCTGACAGTTTGAGGTGCTGGAAAATGGGACAACTTAGTACTATGACTCTTGGAGTTGTGAAACCAGCTAAAAAAGACAGGCATCTAGAATCTGTCATTTCAGAAGCCAAATTCCAGATCAGAAAGACCTTATAAAAGACTTCAAGAATTACACCTTAAGCAGGTATATAGCAAACAGCTGGAGATGTAGGAAGGCAGCTCAGAGGGGAGATCACGGCTACAAAGGGGGACTGTTTCCTCCTAAATATTCATTCTCTCCTCTCTGGGTTTTCATGACAATGCTAGTTTTTGATTCTCCTCCTACTGTCTAACTGCTCCTTCTCAGTCTCCGTGACCACGATCCATGTCTCCCTCTCTCTTAGTTGTGAATTTCCCCTTCAGTTTTCTCTCTCTTCATTCTCACTGACCTTATCAACTCTCCTGGGTTCAAGTATCATCTCTTGACAGATGACTCCTGGAACTTAATATTCTGCCCTAGTCCCATTCCTGAGTTCAAGTACCATACCACCTATTACCTATTTGACATTTCCAGTTGGATGTCCTAAAAGCATCTCAAACTCAGCCCAAAAAAGAACTCATAATCTTTCTCACTCCTCCTCTTAATTTCCCTATTGCTGTAAAGGGTACCGCCATTTTTCTAATTGCCCAGTTTCATAACCTCTGCTCTTCACTCTCATTCTCCCCTCAGACCCAATCAGTTACCAAGTCTCATTGATTCTAATTTCTTAGGCTGTCATTACCTCTTGCCCAGACTCCTAATTTGTTGCCCCACTTCAATTTTCTCCCTTTGCTAATCTAGTCTCCATAACATTGCCTGTTATTCCTACAGTGCAGATCGGCCCATTGTACTTCTTAGCTCAACAGAAGCCCTGCAGAAACTCCCTGAACAGAACATTGCCTCTTCTGGACATCCTCAGCCTCCCCAGGGAAGACGTTTTACAACTCGAAGCTGGACGCCTTACGTTAGGTCCCTGGAGGCTCCTCCAAGCAAGCCTAGGCTAAGGGTAGGGCCTAGACAACGAGGGCAGTTCAGAAAGAATATTTTAATTACACAGGAGGCCACTTCTGAATGACTCTGGTTCTCAGAATCCAGCTCTAGCTATAGGGTGTCCTCTGGCTGATGGGAGTTCCTTATGGTCATTGACTAACTAATCCACAGATTCCTGCCCTTGGATCTTTAGACTCACTATTGGGTTCTCTAGCAAAACAGCTCCCTTCTTGTGACATCCATAATGAATTTACTTTTGGTGGAAGAGGAAGGATAAGTGCTAGGGGGCACATATCGCTGGAGAAGAGAAGGAAGGAAAACCAGTTAAGCCCACCTGGGGCTGGCCCCTCACCTTTCCTTAATGGTCAGCCAGAATAAGAATGCGGCCATGTTTCCCAATTAAACATTACATCATTCCCTGTACACAGAGGCTCCTGGCTCTGGGTTCCAAGATCCAAAGACCAAACCAGCCCTGAGAGGCCAGGAGATAGAGAGATTCCACGCGTATGTGTGTGTGTCTCTACATCTGTGACTCTCTGTTTCACACTTGTCCCCAGTCCAACTGAGGAGAAGGTTTATAATTCGAGATCTAGAAAGGACCCCCAAAGGTTATCTGGTCCAGTTCAATGCCTCCAGGCAGGGATAATCCATCAGTCAATGATTATTTAATAAATTTCTGTTAAGTTGAATGCGGATTGTAAGAAATCAACAAATGGAAAGAATGCCAAGGCATTTCAGTTTCCTCCTACGCAAAATGAGGGAAGTCATTGGCTGCTCCTTAAGGCTCTTTCTTCCCAGATTTGATGTTCCAGGTTTGAAGGCTTTTCTCAGCTCTGACTTTTTATGTTCAAAGGGTCCTCCTACATCTGACATTCTACGTTCCAAGGCACTTTCCAGCTTTGACTTTCTTGGCCTCTGTTCCTTCATATATAAAATAAGAGGGTTAGATCTGACCTCTGAGGTCCCTTGCAGCTCTACAAGTGTCCCAGAAGGCACTTGTAGGGGAGGAAGGAGAGAGATGTTTGGAGAAGTGCATGGTCTAAGGGCTGTCTGCTCCCACTAACCAATTGTTGGCCATCTCTTCAAAGGATTGAATGAGAAGGAAGGCGTGGGGGCGGGGTAAACAATAGCTATCCAGAATTTGGTCAGACATGTGGAAGAACTGAAGAGTAGAATACAGACTAAATGAAGCTATGAATTCTCCAT